ACACACCCAAAACCAAAACCTATATTTTAAGACCCATATCTATATAACTTTTATTACAGTATATTTTATAATTGTTGTATTTTATTAATAGTATTGTTAATCTCTTTTTTATTTTCTGGAGTCAGAAGCAGAGATTTATTTAGGAAAGCAAGAATTATACACTTAAAGGAAAAGAGACAGTGTGCAAATTATTTCAAGAGTGAGAAGCCTATTGTTAATTTCTTCTGGTCTAATTTATACATTAAACTTTATCCATAGGAATGTATAAGAAAGACAGTGTTCATAGCGTTTGGTATAATTTTCAGTTTTAGGTGTCCACTCGGGATTTTGGAATATATCACCTAAATATAAGGGGGAACTACTGTACACGTTATTTTGAAGTGTACATAGGATATTCACTAGGATAGATCACAAAACAAACCTTAAAAAATCTAAAAGAAGGGTTGGGGTTATGGCTCAGAAGTAGAGTGCTTACCTAGCATGTTTAAGGCACTGGGTTTGATCCTCAGCACCACATAAAAATAAAATAATAAAATACATATTGGGGAAAAAATCTAAAAGAAATGCAATCATGTAAATTATATTCTGATCATAATGGAATTAAATAACATAGGTTAAAAAAATCTACAAACATTCTAAAATTAAACAAGACACTTCTAAATAATGAGCTAAAAAGGAAATTTCTGGAAATCAGAAATATTTTGATCTAAATAAATTTGAAACTACAAGATATCAAAAATTTTGGCATACATGTAAAATAGTACTTTGAAGGAAATTTAGAACATTAAATGCTTATATTAGAAAATCAGAAAGATCTCAAATCAATTATCTACGCCTCAACCTTCAGAAAATAGGAAAAGAACAGCAAAATAAACCCAAAGTAAAAGTAGAAGGAAATAATAAAGAGCACTAAGATTAAACCGTAAAATTAAAAACAGGAAAGCAACAGAGAAAAATCAGTGAAATCAAAATCCACTTCTTTATAACAAAGTTGGTACATCTCCAGCAAGAATAACCAAGAAACAACAACAAAAAAGACACAACTTATCAATGTCAAGAACAAAAGAAGGGTTATCACTGTGGACCCCTAATTCATTCAAAACAAAAGTGAATACTATTTAATCCCACACAACTAAAATGAATAATTTAAACGAAATGAATTAACTAAAACCATATAAAATCACAAAAAAGATAAAAATTAGTATTCTATAACTATTAATTATAGTTACTGTAGTTATGTTATTATTAAAGTCTATAGCTATTCTATAACAGTCCTTTAACTTTAAATAAATTGAGTTCATAGTTAAAAATATTCTGCAAAATTATGAGTGCACACAGCTGTAATCCTAGCAACACTGGAGGCTGAGGCAGGAGGATCACAAGTTCAAAGCCAGCCTCAGCAATTTAGCAAAGCCCTAAGTAACTTATCGAGACCCTATCTCAAAATAAAAAGAGCTGGGGATATATCTCATTGGTTAAGGGCCTGTGG